AACGGCCATGGTTGGGATTGACATGAGGATTAACAGCAGGAAATAACAACAACAGGACATTTCCGGTAAGAGAGCGACCGTTTGGGGAGTTAGCGAATGGCCTCTGCGAATGGCCTGTTGTTGTTTTGAAAGCCGACCAACGACAATGCAGCGTGTAATTCGAATTTGCAGGCCATGAATTCATACTGGTCACAAACCTCGGAAGATTAGACATTTGTAAGTTTCAATTCGGCATTTTCTGCAGGAAGATTATTGTTCAATTCTGTTAAAGAAAAGTATATTATGTAAAAATTATCGCTCTTCCGATGTAACGTAATTTGGCGAGGATGCGACAGCCGAAGTTCGCGTTATTCGATTGATTTCTGTCAGCATTTGTCCCAATTAGTCCAATTAACGGTCAAAGTGACCAGCCTTCTATTATTTCCTACTGTTAATCCTCATGTCAACCCCAACCATGGCCGTTAACCTCTTTTCAACGACAAACTTGGCCGGTTCTCGTTTAAATCTTTCAGGAAAGACATGTAAGTGATTTTCAATATACTATTATATAAAGATATAACGTAATAAATTAATAACACAGGATTTTCTAATGATTTTCATTATACTATTATATAAAGATATAACGTAATAAATTAATAACACAGGATTTTCTAATGATTTTCATTATACTATTATATAAAGATATAACGTAATAAATTAATAACACAGGGTAAGATTGGGCCGCGTGTGGTAATATGCTGTGTTAAACCGAACAGTGTCAGTGTGGTATACATTACAGTGCGTCTACAGGAAGTGGGGCCACTTAGAGAGCACTAACCAATCGCATTGTAGCTAATCAAACTAAAGCTCGTCCAATCAAAAGAAAGATTCAGGAAGCCATTAACTGCAGTATTTACTTTTACAAGTCTATTTTTACCGTTCGACATTCGTTCATTTGCTCAAATTGTTTTTGGCCTAATGCTGATTGGCTATATGCGCCGTTTGTTCATGATTTTTTCAATTTTTGTTCTGCAATGTGATTGGTTAGTGTTCTCTAAGTGGCCCCACTTACTGTAGACGCACTGTAACTGTGCACAGGATTGGAATTGAATTATATACTTCACTCATGACCTTCAAAACATTCTCTACTATTCAGTGGTCTTCGATATATGATTGACTCTTTGCTACAGTAATGCATGTTTCTTGAATAGTTTGTGTATGTTACTCAACAGTTAACATTGGCAAGTGTAAACAACAATGGACAGAACTTTTGCTTCATATGATTACAATAAAGTTTTGAAAATGGGTATGGATTGACAAGTGACAGTTTACTAAAGCCCCGTTTACACTACGCTCATTTTTTGGTACGGCACAGATAAAATTGGTACCCGTACCACTTTTTTGGTTCTTGGACTACCTATTTAGCTAAGCCCCGTTTATACTACTCTCAATTTTTAGTACCGTACCACTTTTTGGTTCTTGGACTACCTAAATAGGTAGTCCAAGAACCAAAAAAAGTGGTACGGGTACCAATTTTATCCGTGCCGTACCAAAAATTGAGCGTAGTGTAAACGGGGCTTAAATAGACACTTCGAATATTGTTTGCATGAAATTTTTATTTTTTGACTGCAAAATTATCCGAGTTACAATCATAATCACATAAAATTAGTTAAATTTTCTCGGCGGGAGGCGGGGGGGGGAGGGTTGAGTTGCCCCTGCTGCCCTCCGTGCTGTCTACAGCCTTGTTAGATTTGTACTATGTTTCACTTTAAAATGTTATTTGTTATTATATTTATAATAAGTGATGAAAATGTGAATCAAGTTCTTTTGCAGATACATGTACGCGTCGCGTACCTAGATAGATAGATAGATAGATAGATTGTTTAATAATTCACTTTTTGCAGTACAAATACTGAATTGGTAAGCGATTACAATATAAATAAGACTGAATACAAATTATATTACATTTAAAAAATTACAACCTATGCTATGGCTTACTAAGAAGATTATAAATATTAAAACTAACACTAATTTGTTGAATTACGATTATTTATGTCTAAACAACTAGCGATGACATACGAATTCTTAAAACGTTCAGTATAGAATTTCGGAACATGTATCTTCTTGTTGTTTCGTAATTGGTAATTTAATGAAGTATCTATTTTAGGGATTAAATTACGAAGTTTATGGTTCGGGTTATTTAAAATTTGATTAAAAAGTTTATTGCAGGCAATTTGCCTTCTAGCGTACAATGACTCCATCCCAGCTTCCATCAATGCATCTTCGTAATGTAAGTTCGGATATACAATTCGAAGAACCCGTTTTTGTACTCGTTCAATTTCATCACTCAAGTATTTAGGTAAAGAGTAGTGGAAAACAGTGGAAGCGTATTCCAGAATGGGGCGGATACATACGGTATAGAATTGTAAAACATCTTGAATTGCGACTTTTGCTCGTTTCAGCTGCACTAGAAGGTAAATCCTTTTGGAACTTTTTGTCACTATGTTATTGACATGACTATTCCACTTCAAATTTTTCGCGATAGTAAGACCCAGTAATTTTGCTTCTTCCACCACTTGTAAGGGTTTATCATTAATTTTAATAGGAGGAAAGGGATTTCTATTTTTCGCAAAGTCTATCCGCAATTCTTTGCATTTGTTTTCATTCAATCTGAAAAGGTTTGACTCGGACCACTCTTCAATTTCGGACACTGCATGTTGGATATCACTTGAACCAAATCTGGTTACTGTTTCGTATACCGTTAGATCGTCTACGAATTTTACCTCGTCTAAACAACGTGTTTTTAGATCGTTTGTCATCAATATAAATAACCACGGACCCAGCTTGGTTCCTTGAGGGACACCAGCTGGGACATTCCCCCACTCCGAAAAACAGTCGTGTCCCAATTTGGTTCGTTGTTGTCTGTTACTCAGGAAATCTGCAATCCAACTAACAGTGGAATCAGGGATTTCGAGGGATTTCAGTTTAGATAGGACGATGGAAAGCTTTTTGGTAATCAACCAAAACAATCCTTACTGAGGCTCTAGAACCGTCTGTTTTCTCCGACCATTTATGAATCATTTTAATAAGCGCCTGGTTTGTGGAGGAGCCGGGAATAACACCATATTGATTTACATCTAAAACTTTAAGGATTGCGGGTTTTAAATGCTTAATAACCACGAATTCCTCGGCGACTTTAGAAAGTAGAGGAGTTAACGAAATCGGTCTAAGATGTTGGTTAATGTCATGAGCTGGCGTCACCTTTGGGACTGGGATGATATTTGCTTGCTTCCAAATTGGGGGTAATTTGTTTTCAGTGTAGGAACTGTTTATGATTTTCATCACTGGTAATGAGAGAATCATTGCATATTCTTTAAGAACCCAAGACGGGATATTATCAGGCCCATCTGACTTCCAGGGATTGAGTGAGTTTAAACAATTCCAGACGTCCAGTTCAGACACTGTGAGGACATTTGAAATGGAGTAGTTGTTTGGTATTGTGATTTGCAACGGTTGAAACTCTTGGAGTGGTTCCAGAAACTTGTCATTAATTTTATTTGCAACCTCGATATCACTTAAGTTATCGAGGTCATCAATTTGTAAATTGGAGCGAAGATCAGATTTGGTGATTGTATCCATTCCACTTATTTTTTTAACTGCACTCCACCAGTTCCTAGGCTTAACATGTTTCAGGTTTTTAATCTTGCAATCATAGTAGGAGGACTTGCATTTCTTTCGTTCCATGTTAACTACATTGCGATAATATTTAAATTCAATACTGTTCCCTGATTTAAGGCTCGCTGCCGATTCTTAATCGAACGTTTAAGTTTGTCAGACATCCAGGGGGCATCATTATTATGTATAGTCCTAATTTTTATCGGCATGATTAAATTAAGAGAATCAGATACAATTTTGTTAAAAAAAATCAACCTTTCCCTCACAAGAGTTAATTAGATCCAAACACGACCAATCAATTGTTGAAAGAACTCTCCCAAGGGCCATTTTGTTGCTTGGTCTAATGTCACGTGATTTAACTACTCTTGGTCTATTCGTATTAATATTTCTGATCTTTGGAAAAAGCGATATCGTAAAATGGTCAGATAGACCAAAGGGTGCCATTTTCTCGGGATTATCGAAGAATTGAGATATATTAGTCAAAATCACATCCAATGTTCTCTCACCTCTAGTTGGAAAATTTACAAGTTGCTTCAATTTAAACAAACGAGATATACTGGAGGTCCTTAATCTATTGAGGTCACCCATGAGAATGATTCCACAGTTTGAATGCATAGCTTCGGCTCTGGTCAGACAGTCAATGAGATAGTCAATCATAGCTAGGTTATCAGAATCTGGAGGGTGATATATCGCAGCAAGAACAATTGATGATATCCCCCGAGGCAGTTTTCTCGGGCGCAGTTTTCTCGGGCGCAGTTTTAACCAAAGGACCTCAAAAGATGGACTAATTAAATTAGACAGGATTGCAACCTTAATTTGGTTTTGAACGTAAACACAAACTCCATGTGTTCTTTCAACTCCGTCTTTTCGAATTATATTATACCCTGGGATGTGCACTACAGAGTCAGGAATAACATGCTTTAGCCACGTTTCTGTAAAAACAGCAATATCAACTCCAGTTTTCTTGATAACTAGACGTACTTCATCAATTTTAGGTGACAGGGACATTACATTTGATAATATAAAACTTGGAACAAACATTCAATTACTATCATTGCATTTCGTCGTGGGATTAGTATGAGGAATCAATATTAGGTTATTGTGTTTCATTGTTTTAGCACCAGCATTCCCTCTTAAGGTATTATTACGCAAGGTTATTCTCACGGGTATATTATATGATTCATAGTTATTATTCATGGGGACAAAGTTTAAACTAGGGTACGATACTCGGTAAGGGAGGTAGTTGTTGTTGTGGTACTGTCGGCATTGGGGGGACCATGTGGGAGTCTTCATTAGGGGCTGTATATGCGGATAAAACCTGGGGGGATGGTAAAATGGGTATTTCATCGGTGGAAGGATTTGATAGGGATGCAAAGTTCGTTTGTGAAAAGGGGATGACCGGTCTTGTTGCTGATGAATTCGGAGGTATTGCTGTGGGCCGATATTATGAGAAAAATCGCAATTGGAACCCTTTAGGCAATGACCTTTCTTGCACAGGAAGGGCATGGCACCAGATGTTTCGGAGTCGGATCATTTTGACTATATTTGCCCATTGGCGTCATTTAGGTGGGGACTGTTAGAGGCATCCGCATCATCAATTTTATTCGTACTCGTTTCATTCTTCCCATTTGAATTGCTAACTTCACTTATGTTGGTTTCATTCGCTTCATTAATAATTTCATTGGTATTATGGTTGTGCAATAATTCATGGATAGGATTTGAGTAGTTTTCAATTTGATTGTTTACCTGTTTTTTCTCAACATCCTCTCGTAATTGAGATATAGCTTTAGTAATATAGACAATAGAGTCTGATATTACTTGTATAGCTTCACAATTGATTTTTTGGCCAGTTTGAATTTCATTAATACTAGTATGAACATATGAACTTTTGTGACAACAGGATTGTAAATTAGTCAAGTCCGTCTGACATGAACTATTAGAGTAATTTGTATTTCCACTTTGGATTATAGAATCAGTGTTTTTACAAAGCTGGGCACATAGTAAATAAATAATCTTACCCGCTTCTACACCTTTGATATTGAGTATGCTTTTGGCCTTCCGCCATGTAATAGAGATATTTTCACTGTTAAATATTTTCTTATCACCGCCAGGCTGCTCCCAGTTTCCATCAAGCTTTAGTTCGTTACTCGTAAATTTCCTTAAAGAATCAAAATCCCCTGTCCAGGCAATTGATAGATTATCTAGCAAGGAGGTCATGTTTTCGTACATCTCCACGTCCACCCGATAATATGAATAATGCCACCATTCTATTCAGTGAAACAATATCAACTAATTCCTCACAATAGTTTTAGTCGTCTGTCATCAACATTGTAGATTTGTAGTGATTTATGGCCTTTGAAAGTCAAGCGAGATCGTATGTTATTGAATTACGCAATTGTCTGAACAAAAATATAAACTAGCCATATCTTTCGCCGAACATAACTTCGGCTTTTTTGGACGTATTTTCTTCGAATCCTTGTCAATAACACTATCTACAATCACTTTCAGAAGTTGTTGGGACACATGTAGTTTTAGCTTGTAAGGGGATCATTATAGTTTTTTACACACAATACCGCTCCACTCCCCTCCCCTCCCCCTCCCCCCACCTCAATCAATGTTGTTTAAACCAAAACACATCAAACCCGACGACAAATGGGACACAACATTGAACAGGGGACGGGGGGATTGTCGTTTGTTGAAATTCAAAAGTTTTGTGGCATCTGTCCCAAGACTTTTGAAACTGATTGTAGTGTGTTATTTTCGAGCTTGTACCTTCCAATTTGCATCTTTTATCACGGTATTTCCATTTCTGGTCCGACTGTGGATTGAATCCCAACCCGGCTGGAAATACAATTTTAAAACGTCAAAACAATGCGATGTTTGTCTGTTTGTGCTATGGCTCTGGAAATGCCAGAAATCGACTCTAAAGGTCAAAGTCTGCTCAATGCCTTTTATTTCCTGGTGCAATTGTGTCAGTCTATAGTAACAGAGTTTGACTAATGGTCGAGGGTCTAGGGCAATAGGTCGAGGGCGAGTGTAGAATGTTGAGGGTCGAAAAAATGTCGAGGGTTAATTTTTTGACTCTATATTAAAATTTGTTCGCAAATTTTTAGCAACAGAATCAAATACTTACCATTACACATACGTATCACAATTAATTAACTTGCTTTTACCCAACGTCAATGTTTTAGCCCTATTATGGAATTTGCTATGGCGCAGAGTAAGTATGCTTCGCTATTAAACGCAAAGTTTAGTTTGAACAAACAGATATGTTTTATACGCCGATGTATTCCTACCAGAGGACCTTGTGCTGCATTTTTCGCAGTCGTTCCTGGTCAGGTCTTAAAATGTAGCCTACATTCACTTGGATTACAAACCCTAAAAACTGCATTCTAAATTTACATTTTATAGCCTTATGGCTGAGTGGGTAACTGTATAAAGGCTCTTTTCCACTCATCGCAAAACCAACTCGCAAGCTCGCTGCGAGTGATTGCATCTAATTAAAATAAATTTTCGAGCATTGTGATTGGATGAAAGTACTCGCAGCGAGCTTGCGAGTTGGTTTTTGCAATGAGTGGAAAATTGCCTTAACTGGTCCCCTATAAGCGACGATCAAACAGCTACTTATTTTTTCGCCAAAAATACCAGTAAGGTGAGGCCCAACTTTTAATGCACATTCACTGGTTCGAAATCATATGCAAATCCTGTAGAGCGTAGTAGGTTTCGCGGTGCATTAAATTGTGAAATATGAAGTGGACATCGAAATACAAACTGCTCGGACATGAAAATAGAAAAGTAAAAAGTTATAAAACGTTTTAATCATTCTAATGAGTAATGGTGCGACACTTTGTATCTCTGCGTATTAAAGTGAACAGCAGCTGAAATCTGAATATATAAAAGAAGGCGTAGCAAAATAATATTGTAACTTATATACAGCTAAGTAAACACGGAAAAACGAGCATGTAGAGCTATTAATTGCTATTAATATTTTCCATATCTTTAATCTTTGCCCAAGCAAATTAATCACACTATATTTTACTATACTTTATTTATTTATTATTTTAACTTTGCCAAAGAAACATGCGACATTTAACAGTATATTTACAACAACATATAATATGTGTTCCATTGGCAGGGTGCACGCTGCAGTTTTCGCCAATTACAGCGGCCCCATGAACTATGCTAATACTATACATCGAAGTATACAAATCTAATAACAACACGCTAAGGATGCTAGATCTGTAATACTGTATTTAAAAGAACAATATATTTCATAATCAATTAACTTTATATACTTTCCTCCACTTATTTGTAAAAATATTTTCTAAACTTACACTAATATAGCCTATATTTAAATTCATTGTCTGCCACGATCAGCTTGACTACTCGCAGGTGATGCAACGTTTAATTAATTTTTCTTTATACATTTTTGTAATCATTAAAATCATTAAATCATTAAATCAACACGATATTTGACAGGACAGATTACGAAACTTGTTACAAGACAAACATAGATTTCCATGTCCTTGGATCATCAACGTCAAAAACGTCTTCCAGCGCTAACTTTAATATTTAGAAAGTCCGTTTTTGAATTGCCCTAAACTAATTGTCAAACTCTTTGGTAGTACGTTCCATAATCTCTTTGTTCGGTTGAGAAATGACCTTTGGTAGGCAGTGGTCTTGCATTGTGCCGTTGTAAATGATCAGACGCATGGTTTCTCTTCTGTTGTTATTGGGGGACGACTGTATTAAATCATTGTCAATGGTCATGATGCCATGCGTTAATTTGCAGAAGGTTACCATATCTAGAAATTCATGCCAGTAGCACAATGGAAGGAGGTCTAAAAGTGCAAGTCTCTGGTTGCAGGTTGCGTCACAAAGGAAGGGCAGATTTAGGATGTACTTTGTTGCGCGTCTTTGAAGTCTTTCCACGCATTTGATTAAGGCCACTGATTGTGGTGCGCAAAGTTGAGATCCATAGCAAGGCTGGGAACGAACAAGACATAAATAAATTATATGATCTGCGACGAACCATGATATCTTTCATGTTTAATTAAGGTTGTTCTTCGGACAATTCTAACATTTTGGTGGCTTTGTCGCACAGGTGGTCAACTTTGTTTACACCAAGTCAGCGTAGAAGATATTAAAACTCCAAGATCTCGTTCATAATCGGTGCATTTTAAGATGATATATATCGTTGAGCTTGTATGGATAAGTAATTTTATTGTGCTTTCGGGTGACTCTTAAAGAGTCCTGGTCAACCACAATGCAATGCGTGCGTTTGTTTACGTTTCTGTTACGCGTCGTGGGCCACAGACAACCATTTTTGTAACATCAAAAATGGCGGCAACAATTGAGAAAAGTAACGGGGAAACGTAAACAAAAACGCGCATTGCATTGTGGTTGACCAGGAGTCTTGAAGACTTTGCATTTGGTGTCATTCAATTCGAGGTTGATACTGCTTGATCATGAGCTTTCTTGGAAATTTGACAGATCATTTGCATTTGGTGTTATTCAATTCGAGGTTGACATTGCTTCAGCTTTCTAAGCTTTCTTGGAAGTTTGACAGATGACTCAGCAGACGCATCAGAGATCGAATTGATTGTCTTGAAGATAATTTAATATAATACTTTACCATAATTGCGCGAGGCATCACACTATTCTTGACGTGTTATGGTTTCTCCTTTTTGACAAAAATGTGGATCATATGAACCTACGAAAAATATGTTTGTATGGTTTAGTTCAAGAACGTTTTATACAATAAATTTATCGACAGTCACCTTTGGTTTATTTTCTTGCATAATACTACTTCTTGCACATGTAGACTATAATTATTTCTAGTTTTTAGATTGTCACGTTCATTATTTCGCTTGCATTTTCATAGAAAAGGCAAAACATCGAAGAATGCAAACAAATATTCTAGCTAATATGACTCTTATGTTGGAAAATGTGTTTTCTTCATAGTCCAGACTCTCACTTAAACGATGACCAGAATCACATCATGTGTAAATGTCTGATATATAAGCAGATAGAGCATGTACTTTTAAATATCTAGGGCATCTTCATTATTAAGAGCATCGCAATGGGGAAGTCACATGAGTTTTTAATATATCATATAAGAATTTCCCTCACCACCCCAGGGTATGAATAATGAACAGCTGCGCCTATAATTTCTTAAATACATATGTACAATGACTTTTTCTTAATGGTTTAGAAATGTCCGTTTGTTAAGATTGTAAATTCGGAATTAAACTTTTCCTGCAGTAAAACCTGGCTACATATACCTGCGATATGTTCGCGGACTAATGTCGTTAGCAGTTCAACCAAATACTTCACAAAAGAATGTATGCATCAACAGCTGTAAACAATGCTTGCGCAGGCATACCGCAGGCATATTATGTAAACCAGGCTTTATACAGTAGATGAAACGTTAATTCTATTCTCAAACGACTTCTAGTAAAAGGCTCTTGTGGAAATGCAAACTGGCGGTCAAGTTTCGACAGAACTGGCTGGTCAAAATGTCCCGCTACAATTCCTTACATAAATGGTTTGTACAGGAGCAACGTTTCACAGCCGAGTGATGACTATATTTATCATCTGGAAGAAGCCAAATGTTGTAGTAATGGAAATTCCAATGTTGAATGCGTGCGAGCCAATTGGGTTGCCAGTTTTAATAGGTAATACTTTTGTTTTATAAATTAAACATTTTCTCCATTTTTGTTTCTGCGCACAGACCTATAGTGAGGGGTACTGCTAATATAATCTGAAGCTCTATTAAAGAAACAAGTGGTAACTTTACGTTATTCAAGATATAATCCATCGAGGCATAAAAACACATGTGGGAAAAACTGACAACAAATTTATCGGTGGGAATAAGATCGAAGGCGCATCCAGCGGCTTTGTTTGTTATAATTTTGGGCGGAACAACCGATAAAATACATGTTTCAAAAGAAATTTTTAGTATTATAATCGGGAGAAAAGCCCTAGCCTCATTCCTTCTTATATTAGTTTTAGAAGAAGACATATTTTGAACCACTAGTTGGTATAACAGTGTCATTGCTTTGGGGGAGGGTGCGGGCGGGGGGGGGGGGACAATTTTGTTATGTAAAGCGAAGCACCTTCATTTTTAATTGAATAGCGCAGGGCGACCAGAAATTGCACAAAAATGGCGATGTAGCGGAGTATTTTTGCATGCTTGGCATCATTTCCTCAGTCAA